AGGCAGGGGGGAGGGTTGTGTGGGTAGATGGTGTATGGGGTGATAGAAGGGCATGTTTTATAGGAGTGTATATGCCGGCGTTGAGCAATATGCGGGTGAAGGCGGATTTTGTGAGGGAGGAATTATTGTATCATCTGCAGGGATTGCCTGCCATCACGATTATAGGTGGGGATTGGAATTGTGTAATACGTGGCTGGGATGTGGAACCAAGGGGGGCGGGTTGTGTTTTAAGTGTCCTGAGGGATGTGTTGAGGGATGTGAGAGTTGTAGATGTTGCGGGGGGGGGGGGGTTATGGTGGAGCACACGTTCCTTCGTCGGGGGTATGCGGCGAGACTAGACAGAATTTATGTTATGCAGGGGTTGGAGGTAGGGAGGGTGCAGACATCTGACGTGGGTTTCTCGGATCATAGGGCAGTGATAGTAGATCTGTCGTGGGAGGGTGCTGTGAATATTTACCCCTGTTACTGGAAGTTGAATGTGTGGCTGCTTAGGGGGGAGGGTGGGGGTACGGGATTTGAGGAGTGGTGGTCAAGATTTTGGGGTGCAAGGGATTGGGCAATGGACCTTATAGACTGGTGGGAGTTGAGGGCAAAACCGGGAATTGCTGATTTTTATAGGGTTAAGGGATGTGAGGAAGCAAGATTGAGATATGGATTGCAGAATTATTTGGAGGGACAGTTGCAGGCTTGTTACGGGAGGACGGGTGGGGGGGAGGATATCGCACTTCTTCGAGGTAGGATTGTGGATATTCATAACTAACGTTTTGACGCAGTACGTTTTCAGTCGGGGTTGGAGGATGTGTTGTGGGGAGATAAACCGACTGGGTATGTCTTGCGTAAGTTTAGAGAACATAGGAAAGTGACCACGTTATTGCAGTTAGTGACTAGCGTGGGGGTGGGGGGAATACCCAGAAGGTGCAGTCCTTGTCTCCACGGAGAGTATGAGCATTTATGCCGATGAATGGTTCAGGGAAAAATGGAGAGGGTGTACGAGACGAGGCACCTGGCAGGAGCTTTTTGGTAGGGGGTTCATAATGTTATAGGAGAAAAGGATAGAGTGGGGTTAGAGGCTGACAGTGAAGCTGAGGTGGCAGATGCGGTCTTCGGCATGAGCATGGGTAAGGCACCAGGGATTGATGGTTTGCCTATTGATTTTTACAGGGCTCATTGGGAGTGCATGAGGCATTGCTTTGTTGGGGTTTTGAACAAGATGCTAGATGGTTGGAGGATGGGCGAGTCACAATGTATGGGTATGGTAGTATTAGTACCGAAGAAGGAGGGGGTGCAGGCACTGAGTGCTTTCTGGGCAATTTCCTTGATGTGCGCGGATAATAAGGTGTTCGCAAAGATTCTAGGTAATAGGTTGAAGGGGGTTCTGGGGTTGCTTTTACACTGCAGTCGGTTCGGAATTCCAGGGAGGAGTATGCGGGAAGGACACAGGCAAATCAGGGATTTCTTAGAGGATTGTGGAGGGGGGGTTCTTGGGTTTGATTGGGAGAATGCGTATGATTGTGTGGACAGGATGTTTTTGCGTGAGAGCTTGAGTGGTTTGGGCTTTGGTGCCAAGGTGGTAGGGTGGGTGGATGCCTTGCATGTGGGAGCTAAGATGCAGGTGCAGATGAACGGTAGGTTGGGTTGTAAGATTAGTATGGAGAGGGGTTTGTGGCAGGGATGCCCACTTTCCCAACTTTTGTTTGCATGTGTACAAAATCCGTTTTATGAGCTTGTAGACCGAGAGTTGTGTGGTGAGGGGGCTAAGGGGAATGGGGGGGTTGTGGGTTACGTTGATGATACGACTATCTTATTTAGTAGAAAGGAGGTTTTTTCAAGGGTGGGTGGAGTCATTGAGAGGTTTGGGGCCATAACTGGGATGAGGGTTAACAAAAGCAAGTTGATGTTGTTAGAGGTGGGCACTTGAGTGGGCGGGAGATTGGGTCGGGGGTTTGAATGGAATGTCGTGGAAAGGATCAAGATTTGTGGGATTTAGTATACGACGGACATGCAGGACAGTAGAAAGGTTAATTCGGAGGTGGTTAGGGACAGGGCGTTGGGCAGGCTACGTGGCCTTCAGGCCAAAGATGTCACATTGCACCAAAGGGCAGTGGTTGTGAATTCGCTGGTATACAGCAAGGTTTGGGGGGCGGTGGCAGTATACCCCTTGAACTGTGATATAATAGAAATCCAGAGGAGGGCATTAAGGTATCTATGGGGTTATGGGAGGTTGGGACGAGACATGGTAATGACCGGGGTGCATCAGGGGGGATTGGGTTTGTTGGCATTGGGGCCCAGGGTGAGGACGATTTATGTTAAGATGCGATACCTCAGAGGGGGAGTCAGGGGTCGTCGTGTGGGGGAGGTGATGAGGGATGTTCGTTGTTGGTGGAGTGGGTGGGACCTGGAGGTGTGTGAGGACATGTTGAGGTACATGTTATGAGTTCGTGATGTACGTCGTTTGAGAATAGGGAGGCTGGTGGGAGTGGAGTATCGTCGGGAGACACTGCAAGGGGTGGTTGTCTTCCCCACATATGAATGGAAGGTAATATGTGAGGAATTTCGAAAGGCTAAGAATTCCCACCAGGGGAGGGGTGGGAGGGGTGTCATGTGAGGTAGCGAGGGCATTAAGGTATATTATGATTGAATTTTTGTATGTTTCTTGGGGTATGAGGGAGGTGGGGGGTAATGTCAGAATCAAGACGTTAGCGGCAAGTTTTTATAGGTCGGTAGGTAGGAATAGAAGCTTATATGGGGGTCAGTGGGTTACTTCTTTTCCGGAGAGTTATCGGGGTCTGACGGTGGCACGACTGCTACAGTTGGTGCCAGGGTAGGACGGCAAGGGGTTGGCATCCGGTGGTGAATGATGAGTGCTTGGGGAATGGATGTAGTAGGGTAGTGTGGCGATGGTGGCTTCTAGAGTGGTGTGGAGATGTGAGATAACTTTTGTTTTGGTGTGTATCTTGTGTGAGGTTTTGGAATACGTCAAGAGAGAGTGCATCATGTTCCAGGATGAGGACGATGCCAGATGTCCTCGAGGCTAGTATACTGGTGGATGAGATGGAGGCTTGTATTCCTCCATAGTTTTCAGGCGGTTCTAGTTTTCTCCTGCTTTAGTTGTACCTTGCCTGGTAATTGATATATGTCTTAACGGGCATTTATTCATAGAGTGGGAAGTGTGTGGCCTCTAGTGTTTCGTGGCTGTTCACGTTTGGTACAAGCATGTATATGCTTATAGTGTGGTGGTTTTGTATTTGGTTTTGGGGTATTGTGTTGGGGCGGATTATTTAGAAGCTTGTATGCTCAGGCAAAGGAACCCAGTGTATTGCTCCTGTTGGTGACTACAGAGTCAGTCCAGAGTGTATGGTTCTTGGTTTAGGCTGTGGTCATATCGAGTTTGTCATTCAACGTACCATGTTTTGACAAGGTGTAATGCTCTGTATGAGGGCCTTTGTGTGTGTGTGTGTGTGTGTGTGTGTGTGTGTGTGTGTGTGTGTGTGTGTGTGTGGTGTGCGTGTGTGTGTGTGCCCAGTTATGGAAATGTGGCTTTCTGTAAGCGAGGTGGAGGTTATCTTTAGTACATGTATTCTCCGCAACTGGAGGTTCTGCCAAGGTGTCCTCTTAGATGCTTTTCACAGAGGGGCCAAATGGAAGACACTTTTGAAATAATGTTCACGAAATCCTTCTGGTGTTGTACAAGAAGCTGGGAATTTGTTCTGTTGCCCCAGATATTAATATATTGTATTGGTTTTTATTCTACAATAATGTTAATAAGCATTACTACTGGAGTCTGGGTGAGGCACCTGCGTGCACCGGGCTCATGTACTCTCTGTATCATGTCTACTTTGTCAATGTTAGGATGTTCTATGTGATAGGAGACTGCAATGTACGTTGCCCCAATAAGTGCTCCTCCCTGATGGGAAGGTTACCATGGTATTAATGTACATATACCTACGGATCACAGGGATATGTTAATTGTTCATACTGTGTACCTTGTGTGTTTTGGGAGGAGGTGGGTGCTCTAATTAGAGGGGGGGGGGTTCTTGTATGTAGCCATTGATATAACTTTTATGTATTGGTTAGGTTAGCAGTATTCAACATCGTTCATAATGTTTATAGCTATATTTTCGGTTTATTTACTTTCCAAGTAAGTGCCTTTTAAATAAAAATATCTATATTCTATAATGTAGGTTTTTTGATGTAAATGTTAATTAAGATGTATTATTTTCTGTACCTGGGATGTTTTTTTCAGTTTCTTGGCACATATCATAGACATTTTTTTTTAATTTATCATCACTTGTAGTGTATGCAATGTTTTAAATAAAATGTGTTTTGGGTTCTCTGTGGTGTGGTGTCCCCTCAAGGAAGGTTCCTTGATGTTGGTGAGGGGCTCTTGATTTAGGGAATTGGATCTGTGCTCCAGTTCCCCGAATTAAGCCTGAATGCCTTCCACATTCCCCCCCCCCCCAGGCGCTGTATAATCCTCCGGGTTTAGCGCTTCACCCTTGATTATAATAATAATAATGTGGTGTGGTGTGGAGATTATTATTTTGTCTCCTTTATTATATTGTAATTTGGGGATGTATAGTCTTAGAATGTTTTTGTACATAAAATGCTAATATACAATACAATCGAGTGTGCAATGCATTAGTTTATATGTAAAGTTTTGTATATAAAGTTTTCACACACGATATGAATAAGAGTGACAGGTGTTGGATTGTAGCTATTTTTTGTTTAAGGTTGTTCAGGTGTGGGTTGTCCTCTGTTTAGTTATATGTATGTTTTTTCTTATATATAGCTTCATGTTTTTTGTTTTTTAAATAAAATATAAAAAAAACATTCAATTAACAATTGACTGTGGTGTTCCTGCATGTAAGGGATATCAAATTTTTGGCAAATTTTTTAAGCCGCTAGACGAATTCTTCATTAGTGGTCGAGTTGTGAAAAAAAAATTTTTACTCTAAAATACATGTAATAGGAAAACAGTTGTCTAGAGCTTCTCGCAGTCGCTAAGCAACCTTCACCAGTGCCAAAGTAGGATTAAAAAAAATGGATTTGTGAAATAAAATCCCACTTTCTCACATTATCCTTGTAAGCTTTGAGTGCGTGTTGTTGAGGCTGTGAGCGGTAGTTCCAGTCCGCGTCGCCCTGGAACAAGAGAAAGTTGAGTGCTGGAACCCTACTTTCTACTGGCTGTTTGGCTCCTGCTTCCAGCAACAGCACCCGCCAGCCAGCCTCCTCCGCCAGCCTGGCAGCCATCACGCTACCCGCTGACCCGCCGCCAACTGTTAAAAATACATAATTGGCGTATTACGGATAGAAGTTAAAAATAAATTGGAGCATTACCGACAGATACAAAGAATAAACTGGCATATTACCAACAAATGTGAAGAATAAATTGTCTTATTACCGACAAATGGGAGGAATAAACTTGTATTACAGACATATACCAAAAAAAATAAACTGGCGTGTTACAGACAAAAATGCAGAATAAACTGAGTATCAACATCAGGTATTTTAAAATATACTAGAGTATAAATATCAGGTATTTAGAACAAACTGGAGTATGATCATCAGGTATTTAGAAAAAAAACTGGAGTAAAATGGAAGATATTCCAAGTGTGCCGCCATTTTCCTCTGTATGAAAGTTACAGAGGGATACAGACACTAACTATATGTCCTTGTAGTCATAGATATAGGTTGTAGAGCAAGCTTTGTAGAGCTTCGAGTCGTGATAAAGCTCTACGCAGGGAGAAACGACGTCCCAGTGAATGCTGGTTTTGCTGCCTGTCTTTGTTGTAAGAGAGTTCAAGTTCCCTGGTTCAAGTTCTCTGGTTCAAGTTCCCTTCTTCAAGTTTCCTTCTTCAAATTCCCTGGTTCAAATTCTCTGGTTCAAGTTCCCTGGTTCAAGTTCTCTGGTTCAAGTTCCCTGGTTCAAGTTCCCTGGTTCAAGTTCTCTGGTTCAAGTTCCCTTCTTCAAGTTTCCTTCAAGTTCCCTGGTTCAGGTTCCCTGGTTCAGGTTCCCTGGTTCAAGTTCCCTGTTTCAAGTTCCCTGTTTCAAGTTCCCTGGTTCAGGTTCCCTGGTTCAGGTTCCCTGGTTCAAGTTCCCTGGTTCAAGTTCCCTGGTTCAAGTTCCCTGGTTCAAGTTCCCTGGTTCAAGTTCCCTGGTTCAGGTTCCCTGGTTCAAGTTCCTTGGTTCAGGTTCCCTGGTTCAGGTTCCCTGGTTCAGGTTCCCTGGTTCAAGTTCCCTGGTTCAAGTTCCCTGTTTCAAGTTCCCTGTTTCAAGTTCCCTGGTTCAGGTTCCCTGGTTCAGGTTCCCTGGTTCAGGTTCCCTGGTTCAGGTTCCCTGGTTCAGGTTCCCTGGTTCAAGTTCCCTGGTTCAAGTTCCCTGGTTCAAGTTCCCTGGTTCAAGTTCCCTGGTTCAAGTTCCCTGATTCAAGTTCCCTGGTTCAAGTTCCCTGGTTCAAGTTCCCTGGTTCAAGTTCCCTGATTCAAGTTCCCTGGTTCAAGTTCCCTGGTTCAAGTTCCCTGGCATGAAGGCCACCATACCTATGATGAAGTCGTAGTCAGGAGCCAGGTCGTGGGGACGGTCGTAGCGGGGGTCGCCCACTTCCTTCAGCAGGGCAGTGATCAGCAGTCGTAACAGTGCCGTGGGTACGACTCCCAGCGCCCCCATGGGTCTTGCCATCTTTCTTGCTTCACCTCGTCTTTTCCGGTCGTTTTGTGATGCTTCGATCCTTGGGCTGATGTCACACTCGTTCCCTGGACAGATGTCACACTGTTGTTCTCTAGGTGTTCACACTGTCGTTCCCTGGATTAATGTCACACTGTTGTTCCCTGGACTGATGTCACACTATCCTTCTCTAGGTGATGTCACACCATCGTTCTCTAAGTTTGTCACATTGTTGTTTTCTTAACTGATGTCACACTGTCGTTCCCTAGATTGATGCCACACTGTCGTTCCTTGGACTGATGTCACACTGCAATAAGAAAAGAAATATTTAGATTTTTTAACCCACAGGTTGTCTCCCACCGAGGTGTGGCAGCCCAGAAAAGGGAACACGTTGACCATTATTTACTCAATAGCTGTTTTTGAAAAAAGTGGGCATACATTACATTTTAGAAATTCTCTACTTTTTTAATAGTGTGTATACTCACCTAATTGTGGTTTCAGGGGTCGATTCATAGCTCCTGGCCCCGCCTCTTAGCTGGTCGCTACTGGGTCCACTCTCTCCCTGCTCCATAAGCATTATCGTATCTGATAAATTAGACACATGTGCAACTCTTGGGTATCTTTATTGCGGAAACGTTTCGCCACACAGTGGCTTCATCAGTCCATACAAAGGAGAATCTTGAAGAACCATTCATCTACAAACCTGTCAGACACTGCAGCTTCTTGGGATCTTAATACTTGGGAATTCTTCGCTTGCCTTATTCTTGGGCACGACCTACTTCCACATTGAACAAATGTGACACCACCTATGTCTGCTGCACCTCTCCTGCCAACGGTTTATAAGCTCCTTCTCCGCACGTATGCCGTATTCTATTCAAGATTGATGGACTGACCACATCGACTCTAGGTTGAGGGACTGATTACCTCATTCTCCTCCTGTTCTTCAAGATTCTCCTTTGTATGGACTGATGAAGCCACTGTGTGGCGAAACGTTTCCGCAATAAAGATACCCAAGAGTTGCACATGTGTCTAATTTATCAACATGTCGGTTCTCTGAACCATTCATCTACAAATTATCGTATCTCTTTTTAAAGCTACGTATGGCTCCTGCCTCCACTACATCTTTACTTCCTGAAAACTCTATGACTGAAGAAGTACTTCCTAACATCCCTGTGACTCATCTGAATTTTCAACTTCCAGTTGTGACCCCTAGTTGTTGTGTCCCATCTCTGAAAATTCTGTCCCTGTCCACCTTGTCAACTCCTCTCAGTATTTTATATATCGTTATCGTTATCATATTTACTGTGTAAGGAATTTCCCGTATGAAGATAGACTTAAAGCCTTAAATCTTCACTCTCTGGAGAGACGTAGAATGAGAGGATGGAAATAAATGGTATAAAATACCGACACAATGGAAATATAAACACAAATGCAGTATAATGTGATCCTTTATTGACTACGTTTCGCCCACACAGTGGGCTTTTTCAAGTCACAAACAGAACTACCTGGGGTGGAAGGAACGCGAGTATTTATAGTCCGGTTCAGAATGCTGAGGTCAGGTGAAGAATGCTGCATCTGATGATGTACCGAGTGAGGTTATAGAGTCTAAAAACTTGGGTAGCTTGGAAAGGAGATTGGATAAGTTTGTGAGCAGACCTTCTACAGTGTTCTTATGTGGGATAGCGATGAAGAAGTTTCTTGGCAAGTGGTTCAGCTATGTTATAGAAGCCACTATTCTGGTTGAAGTTGTCGGATATAGAAATAAGTGATGATTCCAGGATTCTTCGGTATTGAGTGTTGTCTTCTGTGGCGATAAGTCTTGAGTTTCTGTAGTTTATCAAGTGGTTGTGTGAATTACGGTGTTGTACGCAGGCATTCCTTGTGTCGTCAGACCTGCTTGCGTATTGGTGTTCTGAAATACGTGTTTGGAGGTCCCTTGATGTTTCGCCCACGTATAACTTGTTGCAGTCATTACAAGGGATTATGTATACCCCTGCAGAGGATGGAGGCTTGTCCTTTCTACTACTGGTGATGTCCTTGATGGTCGTGGTTGTGGAGGTAGATACTTGGAATGATGTTTTGGAAAAGATGTTGGAAACATGTTTGGCAATGGAGTTGGTGGGAAGGACTATGTATCTCTTCTCGGCAGTATCTTCTCTGGGTGTGTTGAAGATGTTTAATGCTCGCCGTCTGCAGTCTCTGATGAAGTGACGAGGATAGTGGAGTTTAGAAAATATTTGTTCAATTATAGTGCATTCTTCCTCAAGGAACTCGTTGCTGCAGATTCTGAGTGCACGCAGGAAGAAGCCTATAATTACACCACGTTTGGTTTTGGTGTCGTGGTGAGAGTAGAAATGGAGAAGATCGTTTTGGTTGGTGGGTTTTCGATAGACTTTAAAACGAAGTTCGTGGTCAGCTTTGCAGAGCAGGACATCAAGGAAAGGAAGAGTGTTGTCGACTTCTTCTTCAAGTGTGAACTGGATTGAAGGCTCGACCTGGTTGAGCTTGTCTTGGAGAGCTTGAACGTTGAAGCGTTTAGGAGTTATGAGGAGAATGTCGTCAACATAACGGAGCCAGGTGACAGACGAAGGAATAATGGTGGAGAAACGTTCGGCTCCGTTATGTTGACGACATTCTCCTCATAACTCCTAAACGCTTCAACGTTCAAGTTCTCCAAGACAAGCTCAACCAGGTCGAGCCTTCAATCCAGTTCACACTTGAAGAAGAAGTCGACAACACTCTTCCTTTCCTTGATGTCCTGCTCTGCAAAGCTGACCACGAACTTCGTTTTAAAGTCTATCGAAAACCCCCCAAACCCAAAACGATCTTCCCCCTTTCACTCTCCCACGACACCAAAAACCAAACGGGGTGAAATTATAGGCTTTTTCCCTGCGGCACGCAAATCTGCAGCAACGAGTTCCTTGAAAAAAGAATGCCTATAATTGAACAAATATTTTCTAAACCCCACTATCCTCGTCCTTCATCGGGAAGCAGCGGCGGATTAAACATCTTAAACACCCGGGGAAACACTCCCGAGAAGAGATACATATCCTTCCCACCACTCCTTTGCCAAACTTTTCCAAAATCTTTGCCAAAAACTTTCCCAAAGTTTACCCCCAAAAACCCGCCATCAAGGAATCACCGTAGTAAAAGGACAACCCTCCATCTTTGCAGGGGTTAATAATACTTGTTTTTACTGCAAAAAGTTTACGGGGGCGAAAATCAAGGGACCCCCAAACACGTATTTCGAACACCAATACCAAGAGGTCTGACGACAAAAGGAATGCCTGGTACAACCCCCGAAAATTCCCAACACCACTTGATAAACTACAGAAACCAAGACTTATGCCACAGAAGAAACACTCAATACCGAAGAATCCTGGAATTCACTTATTCTATATCCGAAATTTCAACCAAATTAAGTGGTTCTTAAATAGTGAACCACTTCCCAAGAAACTTCTTCATCGATCCCACTAAGAACACTGTAAAAGGTCTGCTCACAAACTTACCCAATCCCCTTTCAAGCTACCCCAATTTTTTTGGGATTTTTAAAACTCACCGGTAATCATCGATCGCATTCTTCACCTGTCTCGTAAGACACGTTGCCCTCACCTCAAAAGTGTTCCTTCGATCCCCGTCGGGGGGGAACCATGTCATCGTACCGCGCTGCTTACTCCTTTGATGCTTGAAAACCCGTGAAGGATAAAAACCCACAGTGGATTAAAATGCTCTAAAAAACTTGCCCTTGCTCCCGTTGAAAAGATTTGCCTACAGGTTAAAATTTACACCCATCAACTCGACAAAAAGACCATTCATGTCGTCTGTACCGACGATTATGAAGCCACAAAGCTGATCCCCGACCTTCTATGAAACCCCAAGACCGAAGTTCACCATTCCCCTTCACCTTTTTTGCTGGGAAACTTTCGTTTTGTCAAACGGCGGGACAAACCGTCATTTTTTATCCTAGGATCTCAAGACCTCTACGAGGAACAAAAACCCTGGGCGTCGATTAAACTATCCCAAAACCCAAAACGCCTCTAAAAGACAAGCTCTTCTCAAATCGAGATGGCTACTATCTCCTCTTCATACCCACCCAAGTCACTAGAACCGAACTTTCCCCCACATTCGCCATGCTGGCCCTGTTACCCCTATCACCACTCAACCCCTGACTGTCCTCTGAAAGGGAAAAATACTGAAAAACGCGGTAAAGACGGCCATGATTAAAGGAATGTTCTACTCCCACTACCTTCCTCCCGCCTAAAACTGCAAGGGTACTCACACACCCTTGCAGCAAAATCCCTCTAGTAAAAAAGTCCTGTCTAAAAAAATCATTGAAGAAACAAGAAAAAACCCTAAATCCCCAAACTTACGCCCCCCATTGAAAAAAATTCAATCAGATACCACCGAACCCCCTTAAAGTACAAACATCATCTCCACCCAGCAGTCCCCCCTTTTCCCTTTCCCTGACGCTTTTCCCACCCAAGGTGCTTACTGTATGATGTATGCACCCCTTAATAATGCTGAAAACCCGGGCTCATTCAACACGACATAAATGAACTGTTTGCCAAAAACAACATGCCAAATTTCAATTTTCCGACTCGCCCCATCACAAGACCTCCTCAAGCTAATTCCCAATATTGTTAAATTCACCTCACCTGGTCCCACTTGTTTCTTGACCCAAACTTACTCCAGAACCAACACCACCGTCTCTCCACTCTCCCACCCCCACCGCCCAACAATCAAACCGACCAAAAATCCCCGCCTCCTCCAACACAGTCCAGAATGAAAGTTAAGACCAGGCAAATCTGGGTATCTTTATTGTAGTAGCGTTTTTGCCATCCAGTGGCTTTATCAATACAGATTTAGGACATAATAGGGAAAAACAGAGAAAATTATACAAAAGATGAGGGAATCAGTCCCTCGGCCTTGGGTTATGTTCACAGCATGTGGTGGGGGGAGTTTTGGGGCAAAGGCAAGAAGACTGGGCCTTTTTTTTTGGGGTCAGTGAATGGGACGGGCGCAGGAGGGCGCACTGGTAGGGGGGGATTTCCCCCGTGGAAGTGGTCCTTCCCAAAAAGATGGGTTTTGTTAGCAGCGTGAAGAAGGTCTTGTGATGCCTTGAACCAAAAATTCCATGTGTTGCATGTCTGACGTTTGCAAGAAAGGTATTAAAATACCGACAAAATGAAAGTTAAGAACTGTGAACATCTGGGGTATCTTTATTGGTTAGACGTTTCGCCCCTCCAGTGGCTTTATCAAAACAGATTCTAGGACATAATAGGGAAGACAGAGAAATTTTTAAAAAAAAGTGAGGTAAACAGTCCCCCCGGCCCAGGAGTTGGTTCACAGCATCGTGGGGAGGAGAGTTGGGGCAAAGGGAAGAAGTTGCGCTTTTTTTA